TCAGCAGTCTGTCAGGCACTTTGCAGCTTTCCTAATTGGGGCTTTTTCCCCTCCAGCTGCTAGGGCCAGACTGCTTCAGACTGTTTCCACGTTGACACTCTGGAGCTGCATCTCTCCTGCTGCGAAGATGTTCCTTCAGCAGCCTCCAGGATTTTACTGCCAGCTCCACTCAGGCCTTATATTAATAGATTCATAGATTCATGGATGTTTGGGTCAGAAGGGACCTTAGCAGATCATCAAGTCTGCCCCCCTGCCCTGGGTATGAAAGAGTGCTGGGGTCAGATGTCCCCAGCCAGGTGCATGTCTAGACTCCTCTTAAAGACCCCCAAGATAGGGGGGAGCACCACCTCCCTTGGAAGCCCATTCCAGATTCTGACAACTCTTATCATAAAGTTTTTCCTGATGTCTAAATTAAATCTTCTCTCTGTCAGTTTGTGGCCATTGTTCCTACTTATTCCAAGGGGTGCCCTGGTAAACAGAGCATATACTATTTCTTGCTTCCCCCCCACCCCCTGATTAATTTGTAGGCAGCCACAAAATCACCTCTCAGCCTTCTCTTGTGGAGTCTGAAGAGATCCAGGGCCCTCAATCTCTCCTTGTAGGGCTTTGCCTGCAGGCCCCTAACAATACTAGTGGCCCTCCTCTGAACCATCTCTAGGTTGTGCACATCCCTCTTGAAGTGCAGTGCCCAAAACTGAACACAATACTCCACCTGTCTAAGCCCTTGCTGTTGCCCTGGGTACATGATTGGTTCATCATTGTCATCCTAGTTCTGTGAAAGGGGCAGGGGATATCAGAGGCAGAGAGACATGAATTGTCCCAGGAACATGTGGGATATGTTGAGCTGTGTGGGAATGCATGGGGGGATGTGGTTCTGTGCATGGGGAAGGAGGCAGAGGCACCATGGCTCAACCTACCCTAGGTGTGCCAGGGATGGGTCAAGGTACAAGGAATAGCTTCCCTGTCTCTTGCAGAGTTCTGGGTCACCCTAGTTCTGTGTAGAGGGTGCAGGGAGCATATGCAGCAGGGTTTGTACTGTCTCCAGAACATCTGGGACAGATCAAGCTATGCAAGAATGCTTCCCTTCCCTTGCACAAGTAGGCGGTGACCCAGTCATGGGAACTAGTGATGGGGGAGGCATTCCTCCATGCCTTGACCCATTCTGAGTTGAGTTGAGATGGGTTGAGCTGTGTAAGAATGCCCTTTGCCCCTTGCACAGATTGGGGTCACCCTGGATCTATGCTCGGGGCATGGGGACAAAAGTGCAAATAGACCCTGGAATCTCCGAGAGTATTGAAGCAGTAAGCAGCAGCAGCAGGGTCCTTGCAAGGCTCCCTGACAGGACACTGGTGGGTGGCCATTGGGGAGCCAATGGTCCAAGGGGTGCCCTGGTAAACAGAGCATCTCTTATTCTTTGCTGTGCCCCCCACCCTTTCCCCTTGGAGCAGGGAAGGGAAAACAGATGACTGTAAGATAGTGGTGTGGGGAGGGGAGGGCTGTTCCTCAAGACCCAGAAAGAAGTGTAAAGCCTCAAGGCAGTGCCATGGAACTTATTGGAGCTTTCTTATTGCTCTCATTTTTTTTCATAAAAGAGCTGGTTTTCTTCTGTGAAAAACCTTTTCAACCCCTTATGCTATCTTTTCCGTAGTGGCGTAACAAGATTCCAACATGACGTGGGACAGATTTCTTTCTAGCAGACCCAAACAAGGATGATTATTCACAAGCACTCTCAGAAGTAATCTAACTTAAATTTAAGAAGAACTTCTCTCCTACTTGTCTCTTTTTAATACAAAGCAGTGCTGGGAAGCACATAAACTTCACCTAATTCCTCTCATTCCTTAGGAACGATCTGTTAGATATAGTTGAGACCAAATTTTTCCCAATAGCCTAGGGTCAAGATTATTTGCCAGCAAAAGGAAGGATTTACCAATCTGCCACAGATTTTTTAAAACCAATTATTGTCTAATGTACAAGGCACAAACAGAGACCAAGATCAACGATTTTCCCCTGCCATTGGTATTTTGTATTTGCAAGCTTAAGTTATTCTCTGCTCAGTTCATTGGTTTTTATGGACCAAATTCATAGGTACCTATCTGTCCTCATGCATTTTATCCAGAGTCTGGGTGCAGGTCTTAGGGCAGTAAATTCTACAGGACTGCTATATTTTTTAAATAGTGTACCCGGGTTCAATGGCAAAATGAAAGGTAACAATTAGAAATAAACCAAGTAAATGGAAGTAAAAATCAATTAAAAAGTGGAAAATGGATAGCAATTACTATAAATGAGTAGTTATGAAGTGTAGAATATTGATAAGAGAAGTTAAAAGCATCAGGCAAAAATCCATTGTTAGTAAAGGAGGAGGAGCTTTTTCATGTATATCAGGAGCAAAGGTGTCTCTAGTGGGTTATGGAATAGAGAAAATCCCACACAATTTACTGATTCGTTTTGATGCACTGGCTGGGGGAGTAGTTAGCTGATTGCACGATTTCACAATGATTACACACTTAATTCATACAACACAATTTTATTTTAAAACTCTTTGCTATGTATAAAACACTGCTTAGCTTTAAGAAACACCACAGAAATTAAAAACACAATAATTACATATATCAGAAACAATGCTCCGAATGCACTTCCTTCCCAAACAATGCTATAAGAATTAGTGTTACAAAAACAACTACAATTACAACTAAAAGTTAAATTTGAATCAATACTGTTATTTTTCATAATATACTTACAATCCTAGAATTCCGAGAAGCCAAACACCTAAATATGGTTTCATTCCTCAGTAATACGATTTAATGGGTTGGCCTCAGTAGTACGGTTCAATGGGCTCGCCTCAGTAGTACGGTTCAATAGGCTGGCCTCAGCAATACGGTTCAATGAGCTGGGCTCAGCAGTGGTAGGACTAAGTCCCCTTCCTTCAGTCCCTTTCGGGCGCTTCGCGGCTTCAGCGTGAACTAAGAGATTCGTGTTCACGGAGAGGTTGGGTCAGGTGATCAATCTGGTCCGGGCTACACTTGCAATTCTTCCTTCGTTGTTCTGCAAGTGAAGTCACCTCCAAATTGGGACAGTAAGTTACAGGTTTTTATTGAGTGAGCTGCCGTCAGTGGGCTCCTCCTACTCAATTTGTCACAACTCCCAAATTTGGGCTCGGATCTTACTCAACAGATTCTTTTGAAATTACCTTTGTTGAGCATTTTAAATTACTCTTGGGGAGACTTCTTCCATATCACTGTAAATACCTTTTTTTTTTTACCAGTCTGGTTAAAAGGCACTAGGCTTTGATGTCTCGGAACTCAGGATATTTGCTTTCTTTGTAAAAGACTTCTAAAGATACAATTTAAATTAAGGCTTTAAGTGAAGTCAGGACATTTTTCACGTAGCCCCAAAACAATGAGCTAGATAAGGAGATAAATCCTATCTTCTTCCTGAAACTGGCTAATGGGCAACCTTTACAAACATTCAAACTATTTCATTCAATATGACAAAAGGAAATCCTAGCAATAGTATATGCCAATTAGTAAATAGAGACCGTTAAACTGTTAATACTGGTACAAACATGGTTGACATGTTCAATACATATTTGTGTTCTATATTTGGAAAGAAGCAGGGTAATATGTCTGAATGGTGAAGTACTTTCCAGTCCATTTGCAATGGAAGAATATGCTAAGTAATATAAATTTGGGATATTAACTAGCCTAGACTACTGGTTGTAAACTTATGGGCAAAAGGTGAGCACCAGTTGCTAGGCATACTCTAATGTTACTTAATGTTTTTAAGTAAAAACACCTGGATAACTGATTAACAGATTAAGAACTGACTGACAATTAAAAAAACCAAACAAACCCATCAGTGGGGAACCTTTATCAAATGATGTGTCTCTAAGTGGGGTTCCACAGGGATTGATCCTATGCCCAGTACTCCTCACCAGTTATCTGAAAGTAAACATAAAATCACTGGTGATAATATTTTTGTAGGACACAAAGTTTGGTGGACTAATAAACAATGATAACAACACAGAAATCATAGGCAGCAGCCCAACTTGCTTGGTAAATTGGGCCCATCCAAAAATATGCATTTTAATACATTAAAATGTAAAATGGACATGAAGCATGGACATGCATAGGTGCTGAGGTACAAAATAATGCTAATAGGAGGGACAGGGGGTCAAGTAAGCCTGGAGACCTTCTTTATAGGGATACTGCCAGCTGGTCTAATGAGAGGTGATTAGGTGTGGAGGGTGTGGGGACTTTAGTATTAGATGTTGCGTCATTCCAAGAGTTGTTATGTAAGAAGACATTTGTGGGAGGTGTTTCTGAGGTGAGAGATGGTGTTGCTTGGGAGAACTGAACTGATCATGTCTGTCAGGGAGCAAGGCCTCTAAAGTTATCTATTTATTTGTGTCAGTCAATAAGGCTCTGGTGCTGAAAGCTGATGGCATCAATCAAGTGAATTTGCAAGGTGAGAAATATGAGTTGAAGGGAGCGTATCAGGGTGTGAAATGATGTCAACTGTGGAACAGACTTCTGAGATAAAGGATGATGTCATTCAGAAGTGGGAAGAAGTCTCTGAAGTGAGGTGGAACAGAGGAAAGCTGGTAGGTGAGACATGGTTTCTGATAGTGATATCAAGAACCCTGAGGTAAGAGAAGAGACAATCTGGGAAGCTCTGAGGCAAAAGATGGTGCTAGAGGGTTTCCTGAGTGAGAGACAGAAGAGAGTCACTTGAAGTGAAGATTGGTGTCATTTGGGTGTGTGGTTTGAGGTAAAAGATGTTGTCAATTATGTGGACATGAATGGGGTGGATCTGACATTGGAATGGATTCTGATAGGAGAAATGGCAATGGTGAGGGGTCACAGTGAAATGAAAGATGTTTCAGTTGGATGGGAAAAACATGGATTCCTTGTCCCTAAGCATCTATCACAGTAGTCAGGTTTTGTGATCATTCTTCAGTGGGTGATTGATTTAACTGTTTCTCTGTCTTCTCTTTTTTACAGTTACCTCATCGCCGAGTGACATTCTCTGCAGCCAATCAGGCACAGGACTTGCAGGACCCCTCCCAACATAGTTATTATGACAGTGGGCTAGAGGAGTCAGAGACACCCAGCAGCAAATCATCATCAGGGCCTCGCATTGGGCCTCTGGCTCTGCCTGAAGATCACTATGAGCGCACCACACCCGACGGTAGCATTGGGGAGATGGAGCACCCTGAAAATGGTAAGAGCCAGTGTCAACTCCTTTCTATACATCCTTTTGGTGCAGCTGTTTCCCAGATACCCAAATCTAAGTCCTGTGGAACAGAGTGGGGAGGTTTGTAGCTGTGTTGGGTCAGACTAGGGCAAGGTAAAGCAGAGGGAAGAGAGGGAAAACAGTTTTGAAGGCAAGCGACTGCCAAGGATGTGGGAGGTTTCAACAAAGGCACAGAAAGGCTAGGGACAGAAAATACACATAAACCGGTATAAGTGAACAGAAACTGCTTTAAATCTATAACACAATAGAAGTTCAGTGCACATAAACTGCTTTCAAAATGTCCAAAACTGTTTTAAGATAAACCTGGATGGATTTGTATCAGATTTAACTGATTTAGGTTAAAACAGTCTATGGAACTTCTGTCCCAGATCCCCTCCAGTTTCAAGTTAACTCACAGTCCCCCAGCATCATAGTTCTCCAGCATCTCCCTGGCAATCCGCCCCCGGGGTGGGTGGGCTAGCTGTGGCCCAAGCTTTCTGTTCCACCCGAGCAGGGATGAATGCTCTAGTGCTCCCCAGCTTCTGGCTTGGGCCACTGTAGGCATGTGGCTGCTTTTTCAGAATCAAAAGTGAATGTCTGTTTACTTGCTTATCGATTCAGTCTATGCAGCTTTGACTAACTTGAGAAGATTGTATCGATTCAGCCTTGGGCTTTTTGACTGTCTGTACTTAGCCAAAGTAGACAGACAAGACATGGTGGCAATGGGGAGAGAGGAGTCAAGAGCACAACTGGGATTGGAAGGAAAGGGGTCAGAAGACCCTACTTTACGATAGCAGCAGAACATCCAGAGGTGAATCAGAGGGGAGGCCAGGATGAGAGTTTGTGGATGAACCTTTAGATAAATATGATCTTTAGTGTTCTGGAACTAAAGCTAGGGAAGTATCCAGATTAGTGCGTACTGTAGTATTTAAGTGCTCTAACCAGATCCCAAATTCTTGCCTGGATCCAAAGGGGCAGTTTGAATGGAAATTGAAGCTGAGGGGTCTGGGATCTTGTGTAATCCTTAGTATATAGGTGGGCATTGGCACAGTGGGTGAGAGAGGGAAAGGGAATTAGTGATATAAAATGTGGGATGATAAGCAACATGAGAAAAATGATGTAGGGCAGACTGATTATGGTAAATCCAAAAGCAGCAGGGTCTCTAATGCAGGCTTAGGTCTCCATGTTAGTTTGTTTTCCATTATGGCCTAGCTTTTCTTTATGGCCTTACTAAAGTTGTACTTTCCCACTTCTACTACAAGAGATCTGCTTCTTTGCCCATTCCACTGCCAGTGATCAGTCTACCTGTCTCCCTCTCAATTAGCCATCTCCACAATCTATCTTTACCATTCATCCTAAATTGCTTCCTCCCACCCAGGCTGTGTCTATGTGCCAAACATCTGCTCTTCTCTGTCTGCTGCCTTCTGAGTTCTCATGCATGGGAGAAGTCTAGAATGATGCTCTCATTAAGTGGTTTTCAGAGGAGCCTTTTTGGGGAGAGAAAGAAAGCAAAGTGTTCTTCTAAATGTTCTCCCTGATGCTGGGAGAGTTGAAAATAGCAAAACTGATCATTTATGTCTGGTTGGGCCTATAACTGAGCCTGTGGCCTGTGCCTGTGAATGAATTCAGTTAGCCTAGACTGCAGGGTTGATTCCCACTTGGATGTCTTCCCTAGGGAATACTCCTGGTGAAAGTGGTATTCTATGATGATAAGTATTAGCAGAACCACTCCTCATGGCTCCTTGCCAGTTCCCAAGATAGAAGGAATTATAACTGCATCATACTACAGTTATTCCAAGCTGTTGGATGGGCCCATGACACCAGGTTACTGGAATGAATCAAAGGAATGCTTATAACTGAAGTAGCCCCAGAATTCAGGAGATACTGAAGTGACATGAAGGTCCCCTTTCTCACTTTTTGTGAATATTATGTAGACCATTTCTCCCTAGGATGCAAAATGTTCATCCTGAAAGGAGAGGTAAAGAACAGAAGGCCTGGGGCTAGGTTGTTTTTGGGGTCTTTCCTATATTCTGTGTCAATGTGTTCTACTGAGAGCTCAGTGAATAAAAGCCAGTATTGGGGCATTCACTTTGAGTAATGCCACTCACAGTCTCAGGTACCTGAGTATGAGTCCCTGGGATGTCCCTATGCTTTAATCCTGTACAACTCCTGTAATTAGTCCTATCCAAGTTGGTTTCAGTCAGTCTGTCGACATGGTGCTGGAGAAAGACCTCTTGATGGCCTGGCAGGAGGAACATTCTTGGGATTTTGTAGGTCCTACTGTGTTGCTGCTTTTTCAGATATTTAGTTTTTCAAAAAAGGAGTTAACTTTGTAACCTGGGTACACCCAAGGGTGTGCCCTATTCTCAGTTGGATGGGATGGGTAGGCAGGAGGGGGTGCTATGAGAGGGATGCCAGAATTGCGAGCAAATCCCTCTTTCCTCTATAGAGTTAGCCCAAGCCCAAAGTTCTTAACTATATACAATTTATTGAGTTATACATAATCATAAAACTAAATATATACATATATTTACACAGTGAACATTAACCAATAACCAAGGTCAAACCCTAAATAACACTATTTACCCATCACAATAAAACAATGTCAGCAGCATCAACACAATACAACATTTCAATTACATAATATAAGGAGCAGACAGGAACAATCTTAATAACACCTATTCCATAATATAGTCCCTGACCCATGGCAACAGATAGTCCTCCTTCCAATGGGGTCCCTTGGCGGGGTGTCCAGGAAGCACCAGGGGGCCCTCCCCTTAGGGCCTTGACTAGGTGGGGGGCTGCTCCCCCAGCCCCTACTCTGGGTTTGCCTCCCCCAAACATCTTTCCCTTGTGGGACCCAAGAGCCCAATGACTCACGCTTCCTTAGGTAGCGGTGGTCAGGGTGCAGCTCGGTAGGGTCTCCTCTGCTGGAGCACCTCTCCAGGTCTCTCCTGCACCACTTGGTTCCTCCCCACCCTGCGCCCTGCTCTGGGCACCGAGGGCTCAGCTCCTCTCAGCTGCTGCACCACCGCTGCTGGCTTCGGGGTGCTGGGCCTCATGCTGCAGCACTGCTATTTCCCCATGCCTGGGCTTGAGCACCAAGGGCTCTTTTAGCAAAGGTCGGGCCCTTCAGGCTCTGGCCATCCGTCCTCACACCGGGCGGCGAACCCCAGCAGGCTCCG